ATATATATATATATATATATATATTGTATTTATAAACTTGTTGCATTTATAAACTTATATAGTAGGTTCTATAATAGTTCAACTCGATTCAATTTTTTATAGTAAAGAAAATAATGAGTTCTTGTTCCATTGGAATTGAACTAAAGTTAGATTGTCATAAAAATACATTCTATGGTCAGTGTGAAATTTAGGAAATGTTAAATGAGGAAAAATACTTGCTGACCTTAAGAACTGAAATAAAAAACAATAAGCTGCATGTAATTTGTACTCATCATAGTCTACAATTTATTAAATACTATCTATTATTTCATAAGTCATGCAGTGACCCTTTCTTAATTCATTCAAAGATTGTTAAAGGAAATCTGACAACTGTCACTTTGGAGCATAATCAACTGAACTCTGCTTTAATTCCTGGGAAAAAAATATGTTTTAGTTGCGTTAGAAAACTCAAGAATGTTGAAGCAGTTGAGGAGAGAAAAGTACCAGATTATGAATTACCTGATAACTCTGTTTTACAAGTGGATAACCTCAATCCTTGTTTAAAAAAATTTGGTTTGTTGCCAATTAAAAGATCATTAAGCATGAGCATGTTACAATATGACAATAAAAAAAAAAAAAAGTTTAGGTGTTAAATGAGTCTTTGAATTCATTTAAAGAAGAAGCGTCACAAATTGCTACGCCTTAAATCTCCTCTTTAGATTATCAAGTAGAACAGCTTAAACAAAAGTTTCATAATGAGAATAGTATTTCAAAGAAAATAAAATTACTCACCTTAGTTTCTGTCCATTGGACTATTCAGGAAACAATAAATGAATTTAAAACAACACAATATATGGTAAAGCAAGCAAGAGCTTTGTGGGACAATATAGGAATCCTTGGTGAAAGATCAACTGATATAAAGAATCCAAAAAAATTGACTTCCGAAGTTATAAATCAAATTGTCAATTTTTATGAAGATGATAGTAATAGCAGATTATTGCCAGGTGCAAAGGATTATATTAGCATAAAAACAGTTGAAGGCAGAAAGCACATTCAGAAGAGACTCATATTAGGTAATCTTTCAGAACTATACCAAAAATGGATAGAAGAATCAAATTCTAATGGTATAGTTAAGGTGGGATTAACATCATTTGCTCTTTTAAGGCCAAAACACTGTGTACTTGCTGAAAAATCTGGCACCCATACCGTCTGTGTTTGTATCCACCATCAAAATCCAAATCTAATGGTAAAAGCATTTAAAAATGAATTAAAGTTAAAAGAACTGATGGCTTTAGCTGTATGCTCATTAGAAAATAAAGAATTTATGTTTCACGAGTGTAAAAACTGTCCCGGAAAAGAAAGAATTGAAATAAAGTTAAATAATCTGATTGGCGATTCAGCAAATGAAATAACTTATAAACAATGATTGAAAACTGATAGATACTCCTTAGAAACAATAGTTAAAAACCTTGATGAGTTTCTTGAAGAGTTAACAAACAACTTATATGAACTCACAAAACATCATTATGTCAGCAAATCTCAAACATACTTTTTAAAGCAGTTAAAAGAAAACCTGAAAGCAAATGAATGTATTATACAAATGGATTTTGCTAAAATTTTTTCATTTGTAATACAGGATGAAATTCAGGCATCATATTTTTCTAAAAATCAGGCAACTCTTCATCTCTTCATTTCAACATTTCAACTCTTCAACTCTTCATTTATTATATATATGAGATCTTTAAATGGAAACCTGACCCTAGAAAGCAAATGTTATTGCATTCTGATTCACAATACTGAGGCAGTCTTCACTTATGTTTTGAAAATCGTATTTATTCTAAAAGAAGAATATCCATATATTCAAAAGATTCATTATTTCACTGATGGTGCAGGCAGCCAGTATAAAAATAGGTAGGTTAACTTTTAGTTCACGTCATTCAAAAAATTCTGATTAAACAATTCTAAACAAACCAAATTCAGCTATTGGAATGATATTTTTCAAATTTGCTTTAGAATAATTAGGATATTGTTTTTTTATTAAATTTATTGACTTCACTTTATGAATATAATTTTTCTTAATTTATTATATGTTTAATTTGAAAAACCTTTGCTTTCATAAAAAAGACTTGAAAAGTCTTTTTCATGAAAGCAAAGAACTTGAAAAGGACTGAAAGCAGATTGGCATTTTTTTAGCACTGCACATGGAAAAAGTGCATGAGACGGAGTAGGTGGTACAGTGAAAAGAGTAATTAACAACTTGTCCCTCCAAAGGCCAATTGGAAATCAAATTTTGACACCAAAGGACATGTTTTTAGTTGCTAAAGAAAGTTTTAAAAACATCAGGTATAGCACTTTGTTGTCTAAATGCACATAGATTTTGGTTATGATTTTTTTTCAAGTAATGGATGTCAATCCTAATAAAACAAATTTTGAACTTTTTGGAATAAGTTTTTTATAAGGAAAATTATAAAGAAAATGGTACTTTAAAATAAGAGCTTACTAAATATATTTTTAAAATTATGTTCTAGGGTTTTAAGATTTGTGTTAATATTTATTCTTAGATTTCTCTATATTTCTGAAAACGAAACAGCTGTTAACACTCATGAAGTTCTTGCTAAACAATTTGAGAATGTTCCTGCTATCAAAGGAACCTGCTCATATCATTGTTTTTCACCTTTATCGTGTTGTTTAAAAGCTTATGTAACATCAATGAGCACAACATTTGACACTTTTCACTGATACCCAATCAATATTGCTGATTGGGTATTAGCGCATTATTTTGGTGAATTTTTTTCTGGAAAGGTGATAGATGTTAAAGATGACTACATATCTGTCAGCTGTTTACATAAAGCTGGCAATTATTTCAAATATCCAAAAACACCAGATATCCATTGGTATCCAGTTAATGACATTATTGCCACATTATGTAAGCCTGAGCTCCAAAACACAAAAGGATTTTACTCCTATTTAATAAAAAACAAGATTAAATAAATTATACTGCATTAATTGTTTTGAATTAGCAACTAATTATCAAATAAAAAGTAAAAACCAAACCTTATAATAAAAGTGGTTTCTAACAAGCTTCGACTTTTATTGATCCTTTATTGATCATTATTTATTTCTTTTATAGAAGTTATTATGTTTTTTAAGCACCCTGATGTATCATGAATATTCCCTTGATATATTATGAAAGTCTTATTAAAAAATGTTCAACATTATTTTTTAAATAATCATAGGTCTTTGACTTTGAGATAAAACACTCCTTAATTGTGTAAACAATTTTTAAAGTATCACTATTTAACAATAATACTAAGTTTTAACTAATTATTGCCCCTTTATTTGTGCCCCTACCTAAGTTAAAAATAGATCAGCATGGGGGCAATCAACCATATCTTTTATTTTTTTAAGAAATAATTTATAATCAGTTGCACCAATTGAATATGCTATTAGGCAGGTTGGGCGCACTGGTTTCTAATAATGTATTCAACCCTAGCTAATTAAAAAGTAGGGCTATTTTAAAATGCTGCCATTTTTGATGTAAATGCAACAAGTAAAAAATGATTGCATTTTCAGATATTTGGATCTTATGGTCTTTGCTGTTAAGCTTAGATCAAACAAGCAAAAAATTACGAGCATTTCAAAATGGCTGAAAATGGGATTTTTTTGGCAAATGAACAATACATTTTTAGATGTATTTCAGTCCTAAATTGCAAGAAGCGACTAATTTTTTGCCTGTTTGTTGTAGATAAGATTAGCTAATCAGAAAACAAAACTGTAGGGACTTGTTGCAGAATAGAAAAGTACTGCAGTTAATTTCAATTTGGCCTTTTTTAGCATTTTTCAAACTTTTTTCGAAGTTGAAGAGGCTTTTTTTCTAATATGATACAAGTCAACAAAAAACAGTATTTTTAATACAGAACTACCCAGAAAACACTTCTAGAAAAAATGAGACACTTGTTGAAAGTTAAAAAAAGGTTATGTGGCTTTACAGTAGTTTGTTTTTACAATTCTTAAATCGAGGGGTGCCACTGCGCAGTGTTTATGGAGCTATATTTTCTGAACCGTTGCACTTGGAAGTCTGAAATTTCAAATTTAAATTTTCTACATAATGTAGATAATGATATGTAAAAATCAGGGAAATCAGAGATGATGCCCCACAAAGTTTTCTCAAAATTGGTTGAAATATAATGATTTGACCCAATATCCAATATTAGTTTAGTAAAGTTTTTAGTTGCCTTGCCTCAAGTGTGTCCTGAATTTGGAAGCAAACAAGTGATCATATTAACAACTATATGTCAGATCTCTTTTAAGTAACTTTTCCTCATGAACTTATGTTTTATAATTGAACAGTTTAAAGAGTGCTGCAATAACCAACAAAAAGAGAAGTAAAGCATTCTTGAGTATTGATACCCATCACCTTTAGGAAGAGAAAAAAAAATGTGGACATGTAAATTTACTAGCTAATGCTGTTATTAGTTTGTCATGATTAAATTTTTACTAAAACATACAATCATCGCGAGTGAAAACTTCTTCTATTCTAGGTTTGTGTAGTTTTACTCAAAAAAATTGGGAAAAAATATAATTTCACTTAGTGTCTGATAAAAACAAATGAAGCTATTAAAGCATATCTAAGGGTAAGTTCCTAACATATCTAAAGGTAAGTCTAATGGGTAAATTTTTTAAATTTCTAAGCTTAATGAGATTAACTTAATTAAATCAGGACACAGGGTATTTATATATATTTTTTAATTATTCCACTCTTAATTAAAACTAATTTGATATTTCCTCACTGATATTTTGAAAAATTTTAAAAAGAAAAAATTTACATATTAAATTTAATTTTAATTTTATGTTTTGTTAAAGATGCTATTTATATAAAAAAAAATATTAATTAAAGATACATTAACAAAAAATTTAAATAATTAGAAAAATACTATAAAATTTTAATAGAAAAATCTTTTTTTTCTATTAAAATTTTATATTGTTTTTCATTATATTAAATATAATTAAATAATAATTACTTGTGAATCCGTCTACTATTTTTATAAGATCCATTCTTTTCATTTCTTTTAAAGCTGTTTCCAACTCATCAAGTGTTGGATTGCAATTCATTTGCAACCATTTAGTTAACATTAAATACGCTTTCTCATCACTTTTACTATTATCTTTATCAATCATGTCTAAATAGTTTTCTCCAATATTTAACCAACGACCAAGAGTTCTCCAATCTACTCCAACACTAACACTAAACTTTAATATAAATGCTTTGCTAAAAATAGTGATTTCATCTTTCTTGAGATATGTAAAAAGTTCACTCATTTTGATGTTTCTACAAAAAAATTTAAGATCTATGATACCAGGTTATATAGACGAGGAGGCTACTTAACAGGCTTGGACAGGAATGGCGTGCGATTGAGCGCTATTACTGACCACGTAAATGATTTTATTTTTTGGCAACTTTACCAGGATTGATTATATGTTTTGATGATTAAAACATTTCAGAAATGCGTTGAATGTAAAAACGCTTAGCTTACACTTAAACTAGGAAGAAAGTTTAAAAAAAAAACTAACAAAAAAAATTCTAAGGAAAAAAGAAAGAAAAAAAAACTTCCTTACAAAAAAGAAATTAAATAAGCACTTAAAAATGAAAATTAAAACTTAAACTCAAAGCAAAACTTTTTGTTACGTTTTTAATTACGTTTGAAATAAATGTTATTAAAACTTATCTTGTTAAATGTTTTATTAATGATACGCAAAACGCTTTTAAGTTAAGTAACAAATTAGTACTAAAGATTGTTTAATAAATGAACAAACTTTATCAAATTTATTAAAAGTTGCACAAAAAAAAAATTATTTAAAAAAATAACGTTGTCTCTTTAAAATATTAATTTTTTTAATAATTTCATTCATTAATAAGTCTAGTTAAAAAAAAGGTTTTCGACTTTTTAAATATGAAAAAAAGTGAATAATTAAAATGCGCCTGCGCACAGTGAATTGACTCATACAATCTAGCTGGACAAAAGTCAATTCAAGGAATCAATTAATAGATATTTCCATGATATTACTGAATACTCCCTTGGGAAAAATTCAAATTATTAATTAGTGCACACGATTTTAAGTGTTAAATTATTAGCGCTCAAGTGTTACTTAAAGATAAACTTTTTTTTTTTTTTAAGAAAATAGCTGCATTTTTGCTGTCTAACAATAACATATAACTAATTTATTGTGAATAATAATTAACTCTGCTGTCATGAATTACACTTTAGAAGGTATAAACTTTGTATTTTATCGAAAACTTATTTAAAATTATTGGCAAAATTGATAATTCTATGGATTTAAAAAAACAATATAAAAGTTGCAATTTCTTTTTCGTTTTTTAATTTTAAAAGCGTGTAAGTAATTTTATCCAAGTATATCCAAGCTGATTTTTTTATATATTATAACCACAACAATAAGTTTGTCTAAATATGAAAGATTTGGCTGCCCTTATTTGCCCATTTCATTTTTATTTAATTTTTTTCAGACCAAGTGTATTCTATTAAAAAACTGGAGTTATTTGAAGTATTGAAAAAACATACAACGGAAGGACGAAATTCTCTTTTGTTTGATTTTATATTGAAAGACTATATTACAGAAGATGTTACTAGTGATTCGAAAAAAAAAATACAGTTAAAAGTTGCAAGCATATCCGCTAAATTTGCGCAAAAGTGGAATGCAGCCAATAGAAATATTGATATATTTTTAAAGAAAAATAAAAGTTTGTTAGAGGGCAATAATTTAGAATTTAAAATAAGTTTGCATCGGTCCTGTGCTTCCATAACATCTGAAGGAAATCGGCCTCAAGGTCGGCCAAAGAAAAGCTTTGAAGACTTATCTTTAAAAAGTAAAAGACGTAGAGTTGAAGACTTATTGCAATCGCGAAGTGCCAATGAATTAACAACGGCTGCTGAAATAGCACATTGTTTGTCGGGTCAAAGAAACGTAGCTACTTCTATTAGAAAACGTACAAATACCTTAGAGCAAAGAAAATCTACTGATGTTATTAGTGGTACCAGGCAGTTAAGTACCCTATGCGCGCATCACTAGTGATTTAGTAGTGATTCAATACTTATCGTAAGTAGTGATTAAGTACTTACTAAACGATGATTTTGTAAACTTTTTATCACTAGTGATTGAGTGGTGATTTGTTACTTGTGATTAAGTAGTGACTATCACCGCTGATTTAACAGCGATACACTATTGATTTAGTAGTGATTCAATACTAATCGTAAGCGGTGATTAAGTACTTATTCAATGGTGATTTTGTAAACTTTGTATTACTGTGATTGAGTGGTGGTTTATTAATAGTAAGTACATAAAGATGATCACCGTTGATTTAACGCCGATGCACTCGTTATTTATTTGCGATTACTTATTGTTAATAGTGATAAAGTACTTATTATATATCATTTATGATATATTTAAGTAATATTGATAAATAATTATTTGAACGCCAAATTTTAGTGTTTGCAGGGATTGCGATAATTAATATATTTAAAAATAATCATTAATTCGTTTTTAATAAAACTACAGTTAGACTTCTGATATTCTATTTCTAAAATAATACAAACATATATACAAAAGAAATATTATGTTGATTATTTAGTTTTCATAATCTTTTACATTTTCATGCTATTGACTGCATGTAAAAAAAAATATTAAACTTTGATAAAATTTAGAAAGTAATATTTTAACAATATTTTTTCATTAGAGTACGATGATACTTCATAAACAAATTAACAAAAATAATAGAAGACATAAATCAGTTTTTCAAACTGAAATAATGTAAACAACAAAAGTTAGAAGATTTTGTTTATTTATAAAGTTACAAAACAGCAGTTGAAAAAATATTTTTATCAGTATAAGAAAAATTTTTTTTTGTAAAGTTTTATTTTGATTTTCAATATTTTTCTTCTCGTTCCGGATATTCAAGACACCAGCCTGTCGCAAGTACTCTCCAATAAAACTGTGGAGTTGAATTTCTTTGGTGTCAGCATGCTGACTACTAACTGCCTCTAAATAAAAAAAGATACAGAACTTTAAACCATGAAATTGAAATACCTTTGTATATTTGAAACATGACTTAGTCACATTTATTAAAATATGATGTGTAAACTTGTTCCTTTGTATATATACCTATAATGGCTGAACAAATATTTTTGAATTCCGTGCAAAATTTACTCTTCTGGGCAGTGCCCGTTATATTATATTTCGAAGCAACATCTTTAGTTAAAAGTTTATTCATTGCTTCATAGATACTTTTTTTAGGGTGGATGCCACAAGCACGAGCTAAAACTGCCACCTGTAATAATAATTTATTATATATAGTAACATGATATATTAAGTAACCAGTAAAAAATCTAGGGGGATGCATCCCCCTCTATCAGAATATTTAAAACATCAGAATAACAAGCAAAAATCTTGAAAATACTATATCAAATTGCTATGAAAACAAAACAAAGGTGTCTTGAGATGTAAAAGACATTTACAACAAGATTTTTTATTGGATTTTCATGAATTTTTAGAATAAGTTTAAACTCATTCCACACCTCTACTGTGAATTCTTGCATCTATTGCTGTTTACTTTTCACTATTTGGTTAAATACTACTGCAAAAAAAACAGTGAACTTTACCTACCTGTAACAAACTAAAAGCAATACAATATGATATTACTAATTAACATGATATTATTATATATATATATATATATATATATATATATATATATATATATATATATATATATATATATATATATATATATATATATATATATATATATATATATATATATATATATATATATATATATATATATATATATATGATATTATTATATATACATATATATATATATATATATATATATATATATATATATATATATATATATATATATATATATATATATATATATATATATATATATATATATATATATATATATATATATATATATATATATGATACTATTAATTAACATTATATGTATTTGAAATTTAAAAAAATATCTTTAGCTTGAACTAGTTTTTTAACTGACTGACTAATACAGTGTTACAAATTATGTGTTATAAATAATAACAAATTTTGATAAAATATACGAGTGAACATACCAGCTGCAAATATATATTTTTGTCTTCTAATTTACTTTCTAACTACCCCAAATCCTCAACATTGTCAATTGTAATTAAGACAAACGTATTATCATTATCTATCCTTGTATGCTGCAGAACTGAAAACTTTTATAAAAGATCTTTTTGGGTCTCCTTAATATCATATAAATCTTTTTTTATATTTTTTAAAACTTTCATCACATTTTTCTGGAAAACTAAAAAAAAAAAGCTTTAAATTACAAAATTTACATTATTAAAGTCTAGTAATGGATATCTTTCAAGTAAATAATATTTCTATTTTATCAAATACAAGAGGATTTAAAAACTAGTTTTAACAATACAACAATTTTTAGCCTAATACTGAAGCATATATTAAAAGCAGGTGTTAAGCTTTACTCTCTCAAACTACTCTTAAAAATTCTTTTTGAAATAAATTAATAAAGTTCAATATAAAACAGTAAACAAATGAACAAGTTATTTCTTTATATATATATATATATATATATATATATATATATATATATATATATATATATATATATATATATATATATATATATATATATATATATATATATATATATATATATATATATATATATATATATATAAATTAATATTAGTAAGCATGTAAGTTAGATTTATTTATTAAAATAATAAATTTATATTAATTATCAACTAAACTAATAACAAGCTTTCTTGGTATTTAATTAGGAATTTTCTTGGTACAAACATTTTTCATAATGCTCTGGTTGGGACTTTTTTATTTTATATATAATATAATATCAGATATTATATTATATATAAAATAAAAAAGTCCCAGAGCATTATGAAAAATCTAGTGTCAAAATGTTTGTACCAAGAAAATTATTATTATTATTGTTATTGGTTTAATTAATTGTTTTGTATGAAAGCTTAAAAATTTAAATTTAAAGTTTAACTATACCATCTTGTGATACAGTGGGTGTACTATCTATGTCATCCAAAGATTTACTGCTGCAACCTGCAATGAAAATCTTTGTTTATTTATATACACAAATTATATGAGAAATTAATATCCAATATATATATAAAGAATAAAACTGTACTATTGCTTGTGTTATGCTGCAGGAGATAAGATTGAGACGATGGTACTTTAGTTTGCGATACTGGATCAATCTCCATATCGATTCTTCGCTTCTTTTTATCAATCAAATTCAGATTTGAAGGCACTTCAAAAAGAAATAAACTTAAATTTAATGATAAAAAACTACACTTTAAAATATCTGCAAAAATAAACTAATTAAAACATATCTGATATACTTTAGATGTATATTGTAAAGTCCTGCAAAAATCTTTGTTAGCATAACAAATAATACTCATTGATCTTACTAAATTTAAGTTCAGTGTTTTAAAGAGTATTATTTGCTATACCAAAGTCTAAAAAATTTGTCTCAAAGAAGAAAAATGTATATAACAGTGTTGACTACACAACAAAAAAAAAAGTTTATAAGTATAAATTTTAAATAAAGATAAAGTAAAGAACATTTTTGTAGTGATGGTGGAAGTAATGGAAACTTGTCGACTACGGTCTCTTGCTCTTCATCACTGCTGCAAACCAATTTAGGCCTTTTGGTTGATTGGAAGCAACATCATTATCTATAATAAACAATATACCTGTTTTACAAATTTTGCTAATACGTCAAAAAAATCTTTTAGTATAATACCAAACAAAATAAAGTAAAGTAACTTAAACAACCCAAATCATCAGAATCACTCATAAAATATGGTAAAGCTGTTCGACATTTTCGCTTGGAAAGATTATCATCATCTGTATCTTCGTTTGTATCAATGGCTGAGGGAAAGCCAGAGGGAAAAACTGCCTAAAATAAAAAAAAAATAAAACATGAAAATGCAAATACTATAAAATATAGATAGTTGTTTCATAAAAGTTTAACATGACTTAAACTTACTTCCACTTCCATATTTCTTTAACAAAATAAACCTGAACCAGTCTTTTTTTGGTAGTTGCCTGTTTAAAATTAATGGCTTCACATTAAGAACTGGAGGCCAGCACACCCAAAAGCTATCATTTTTTTCTTCAATCCAGGGAGATTCCATGTGAAAACATCCAGGGCATGCAACCCTAAGTCTCAGATTTTGCTGATTTTTAAACCACTTAAAGATTTTAGTAAATTATGAACATCCTGAAAATTTTATCGTCTAATTTCCATCGGTTCCTAAGATATAACTATTTTAAGTTTGCCTCTAACCAACAAAAATCCGCCATTTTTAAAAATGGTTTTGGTCCTAGTTTCTGTTATATGTGTGTTGGAAAGCTGAAAATTTGTACCTTTACATATTTTGGGCCAACAAATCCAATGAAACAACTTAAAATATTTAAAAACAAGCATAACACCTAAAATTTGAATGTTTACCACAATTTTACTGGGGCGAGTCCAATCACAAAAATGCCGATGTAGCTCGATTTTTTTTTTTTGTTTTTTTTTTAAAAGTTGTCCTGAATAGTTAAGCTATAGTTACTACAAAGAATTGGAGAGTGGTCTTTTCTAAAACAGAAATAAAAATATGGTCAAATTTACTTAAATTTATTGCTTAAAAAACAGGTATTTTGATAAATTAAACTATACAAAAAAGGTGTAATAATTTGACAGTTCTGTAGCTGAAACAGTTTTGGCTATATCAAAATGTTCTTTTAAATGTTGTTGAATTGCTGTTTCTATTTTTTTAGTAGTTTTATGATTTAGAAATGTTTATAAGGTTGTAAAATTAAATTTTGTTGCTCATGTATTCAGTTTTTGTCAAATCGTGATGAAGTTTCTGATAATGAAATGGATTGTGAAATTGATGGTGATGTATTATTTTTTAAAGATAAATCTTGTAGTAAACAACAGTTAGACAACTCTTTATTATTTGATATTGGTAATTTAATAATTTGATTTGGAAAAATTTGGACTCTCACCAATTAAAGTTCATAGTGTCGCAAAGCATCAACGAGTTGACACAGCAAAAAGAAAATTAGTCAAAGCCTACACAAAAATGGAGGAAGGTGTAGCAAGTGCTTATGGAGTAAATATAGATAACTTAAGTGTAGCCTCGACTTTTTCCAGTCATCCTATGGATAAAAAAAAAGCAAATGATCTTGATCATTTGACAACTTTAATGAAAGAAAAACTTAGAACCGTTTAAAAAAAAAATTCAAATATTAACACTTACACCTGAATCTTGGTCTAGAAAATACGCTTCAGAATATTTTGAAGTTTCTGAACATCTTATACGACGTGCTAGGAAACTTATAAGTGAAAATGGAATTCTTGCTATACCTGCTAAATATATTGCTAAATGCCAAACTTTATATTTGAAAGAACTAAAAAATAATTTAGGTTACAATGAATGTATTATACAGGCAGATTTTGCAGAGAACTATCAATTTGTTATACAGGATGAAATACAAAGTTATCATTGGAATAAACAACAATGTACACTTCATCCTGTTGTTATATGTTTTAAGGAATTTTCTAAAACAAATATTCAGCATATGTCATTCTGTTTTTTAAGTGATGACAATGATCATGATAAATGTTATGTGTATTAATTTCAAAAGAAAATCGTAGAGTACATTAAGGAATATTTAGTTGGTATTAATAAAATTTATTATTTTTCTGATAGATGTTTTGCTCATTATAAAAACTATAAAAACTTAAATCTATGCCACCATAAGGAAGATTTCGTGATTACAGCTGAATGGGTATTTTTTGCAACCAGCCATGGAAAATGCACTTGTGATGGCATAGGTGGTATCGTTAAAAGAAAAACAGCAAGAGCAAGTTTGCAAAGGGCATTGGAAAACCAAATATTAACAGTTGATATGCTTGAGTTTTGCATCACCAATATAAACACAATCATATTTTATAAAATTTCCAAAGAAACAGTTAATGCAAGGAGACAGCAACTAAAGGAGCGATTTGAAACAGGAAAAACTGTTCCAGGTACCAGAAGTTATCATCATTGCATACCTGTTTCAAAATTTGAAATTAGTTTTAAAAGAACAAGCAAACATCAATGTGTTGACAGATTTATACTGTCAAAAGCAGTAATGTCTGATGTTGTTATTGTACAAAATGGATAGGCATGGTTACAAAGATAGATATTATTATAAATGATATTCAAATTAAGTTTATGCACCCTTACGGCCCTTCTTAAAACTATATTTGGCCACAGAGAGATGATATCTGTTGGGTACCATTGTCGAATTTGATTGCAGTAATCAAAGTCCAAACATCAAAATCAGGGCGAATATATAACATTAATGAGAATAATTATAACACAATAACTGATAAATTTTGATTTTTTTGAGTTTTTAATTTTTAAATTTTGAATATTACATTTGTTTCTTGAACTTCTTTCCAAGTGCTCTATTTGTTTTTTAAATTTATTAAATTAAAAAAAGAGTCTTTGTTTTTTTAAGTTTATTAAATGAAGTTTGATAAATATGAAACTAATGTTTTATAAGTAATAAATTTAAGTATATTTGAAGATGTTTTTATTTCTGATTTAAGACCGCAATCTGATTCTTTGTAATAACTCCAACTAAACTATTTAATACAACTTCTAAAAAAAAACTAAATTTGCAATATACATCTTTATTTTTATAACTCTCCCCCTTTGAAACTAAACTTTTTTAAGATCAGATTCTGAAAAATTACAAAAAAAACAGAAACAGCTAGTCAACAACAACTAAAAGAACAGTTTGATGTAGCCTAAACTGTTTCAGTTGCAAAACTGTCAAATTACCACATTTTTTTTCTTGTTTAATTTGTCATAATACCTGTTTTTTAAGCAATAAATTTAAGTAAATTTGACCATATTTTTATTTCTGTTTTAGAAAAGACCACTCTCCAATTCTTTGTAGTAACTATAGCTTAATTATTCAGGACAACTTTTAAAAAAAAAAACAAAAAAAAAAATCGAGCTACATCGGCATTTTTGTGATTGGACTTGCCCTAGTAAAATTGTGGTAAACGTTCAAATTTTAGGTGTTAAGCTTGTTTTTATATGTTTTAAGTTGTTTCATTGGATTTGTTGGCCCAAAATATGTAAAGGTACAAATTTTCAGCTTTCCAACACACATATAACAGAAACTAGGACCAAAACCATTTTTAAAAAAGGCGGATTTTTGTTGGTTGGAGGCAAACTTAAAATAGCTATATCTTAGGAACTGATTGAAATTAGACGATAAAATTTTTAGGATGTTCATAATTTACTAAAACCTTTAAGTGGTTTAAAAATCAGCAAAATCTGAGACTTATGGTTGCATTTTCAAAAAAAATTGGATGTTTTCACATGGAATCTCCCTCCAATTAAAAGGAATTGTTCCATATTCAATGGAATGTGGAGGTTCGAGCCATTTCACTTTAACAAAATTATCCATTTTTTTAAATTTAAAAATAAAAGCTGAAATTATAAGTAATAAATAATTAACAGCTAGAACAATAACAAAAAAGTAATTACAATAATTAAAATAATCCAATATTTTTATTATTATTAACAATTATTTATATATACATATTTGGGAACAGTATTAAACAGGTATTGATAAAAAAAATAAAGTGAATAATATAATTAAACATTTTCATCATAAGAAAAGTAAAACAAAAGTAAAAGTAAAATTATGAGGCGATAAGTAAGTTATAAACTATATATATATATATATATATATATATATATATATATATATATATATATATATATATATATATATATATATATATATATATATATATATATATATATATATATATATATATATATATATATATATATATATATATATATATATATATAAATATATATATATATATATATATATATATATATATATATATATATATATATATATATATATATATATATATATATATATATATATATATATATATATATATATATATATATATATATATATTATATATATATATATTATATATATAAATAAATATATATATATATATATATATATATATATATATATTATATATATAAATATATATATATATATATATATATATATATATATATATATATATATATATATATATATATATATATATATATATATATATATTATATATATAAATATATATATATATATATATATATATATATATATATATATATATATATATATATATATATATATATATATATATATATATATATATTGGTTGGTGTGCATTTTCTTATTTCGAGCAACTCTGAAGAAATTTTGCTGTTTACAGAGGAACCTATATTGTTAATATAATTCTTCATAAGTTTTTTTGTAACCCCTAGACAAACTAAATGCATGTAGTCAAGTACAAATCCAGTCACCATCGGAATTTCAAGTTTGGATAATGGTGATTTACCAATCTGGTGCTCTGAATAAAATTTATCTTTAAACTTTTTATCATTTCGTATTAAAGACTTGGTACCTAACAATCTTATACCTTTATGATACTCACCATGTTCTTCACATCTTTCACAACTGTCATATCCACTATGACTTTTTATACATTTTAAAAATGCTCTGGCTGGTGCGTCACATACAAATGCCTTAATTATCACTTTTAGGCCTTCATAGCCATTTATAAAATAGAACTTTAACTGTGCAAAAAATTTTTGGAGGTATTCTCCGAAAACTGTAGGTTTTCCTGTACCATACCATAAAGCAATTGCATATGGACCTCGTTGGTTTATAGTACACAATATAGGCCACATTTGGTTTTTTTTTACTATTGTATATCTGAGTGCCATCAACATTTATAATAAGATCAAACTCTGCTGGCTTTCTAAAGCA